ATATGTTATTTCACTCTCCAGCATGTTGTAATCCTTACAGGTATAAGCCACACGCCAGCACAGTGAAAACAACTGCAGGATCAGTGAACTGAATAGGTGGCTTAATATCCAGAGGTATAAATGCTTCTTTTATGCTTGCTCTCCTTGACTTTAGCCCCCCCTAGTATGACCCCTGCTTGTCTGTTCTATTCCTCTAACCTTATGCCTCACCATCTGTCTCCTGTGAGAACTCATAGTTGTGTGGCTTATATTATTGTTAATCCATAGTCTAGACAATATTTTCCACAGCTGAAGTAACTAGCAGTGCTTACATTTTTCTTACATTGCTATTGTGTTTATACATGGTATACATTTTTACATCACCACCGTTTACAAAATAATACACAAGAATCATCCAAATGAGAAAATCATCCACAATCATCCAAAACAGTTAGGAATATGTGTATAGTTAATGGTATAGTCCAGCGTTTGCAAAACAATATATATAAATGCACACACATTAATCAAATTAATTTTTTGCATTTGAGCCTACAGAGCATTGCTAGCGAGATCAGTGGATGCAACCGTGATTAGTAGAAGCAACCGAGATCAGTGGATTGCAGCCAAATTCAAATTATGATGGGAGCCTGTGGAGAGAAGAACCTTGAGCTTTAGGTAAGTGGGGAGGAGCTGGTGACGTGGCTATGTTTCATGTTACTTCTTGAATATGGGTGTAAATAAAACATGGTCCAAAAAGTAAACCTAGCCTCTGAAATGAACTCAAATAACATTTATAAATTGGTTACCAATCTGAATCTAGTTTTGCACGTTATATATTAAAGGAAACCTGGCATGAGGAAGACTTGAAGGCTGCCATTGAAGGCGGAACTTCTTATGACAATTGTTGTCACCTGTTTGTCATGTTGACCCTCTTGAGTCAATCATTCCATCACTGAGCCAATCAGGCTCTGAACAAGTATTTAAAGCCGCACCCCAGACAAAATAATAATTTACACACTGCACTGGGTGGGAAAATAGTAATTAAAAAGTTGTGTGTTATGTGCAGAGGGTGGCTGCAAAGCATACAAATCTGACCTTGTAGCATGCCATCTCCTACACACAACACCAAGCTTCTGGGCACTGAGGAGAGGGAGACATGTGATCGGAGCGGTACAGTGCTCCAGTCACATCACCTGTCCCTCCTCACCATCGCCCATTCACAAAATGTTTTTCAAAGAGTACAAGGCATTCTGTGAATGGAGGAGGAGAGATGATGTCACATCCCCGCCCCCCAAAAACCCCCCCCCCCTCCACTACTCCAATCAGAAAATGTCTTGTATTCCTTGAAAAACGAAAAGAGATTTTGTCATTGAACAAAAAAATGCTGTTCCTCTCGCTTGCCTGGAAGCTGGGCATAGTGTACAGGGGATGGCGTGATGCAAGGTCAGATTTTTCTGCTTTGCAGCCCCCAACGCATAGCACCTGGCTTTTAAGGATAATTTACACACCTAGCGTGGTGTATAAATGATAATTTTGCCCGTAGCATGGCTTTAACTACCTGAAGTCCAGGGTGTTAAACCAGCTACCTGTCCAGGCTATTTTTGCAGTATTCAGCGCTACAGCACTGCAGTACTTTGAGTGACATTTATTCAGTCATGCAACACTGTACTGAAATACATTTACACTCCGTTGTGTGCGGTGATATGTAACATGTGCGGCACAATGAGCACAATGGTACTTTGTTGTTCGTAGGTGCACACGACGCATGTTTGCGTGTGTGTGCAGGGGCGCGGGACTTTTTTTGGTGTTTTTTTTTTTTTTTTAATATGTGACTTTCATTTTTTATATGCTTTTTTTTTTTTAACACTTAACTTTATTGCTATTACACTGGGGTTAAACCACCTAGGGACTCCCAAAGACCTGCTTAATCAGCTTATCTCCAGCTTCTGTAGCCCAAGAGTGACAGATGAATGCGGAAGTGATGTAAAATATCACTTCCTGCATTCAGAGACCAGGGAGGAGATCAGAGGGAGATGGTGTACTGACTTCCATCTGATCTCTGGTCACAGAGACATTGTGCCGGTCCTGGGCCTGCACTGTGCACAGCGCAGCTTGGGATCCGCCGTTGGATCTCACTTTACTACAACTTACCTTATCTGTGTACTTGTTCCAAGTCACTGACTCAAAGTATTAAAGGACAACTCTGGGTAAAAATTTTAGTAACCCTTGCTGTGCACGGGTTAAGTGCTCGTTTTTGCCTAGGGTCAAAAATAACAATGTTATATTCCGCCGATCCTCTGAGCTGGCCGGCTGTAACAGCACTCCCTCCTGCCTGTCCCCTCCTCCGCTGCAGCAATGGTATGTCTCTTGGCATACTCACCTCCTATACACTGTGAATAGAAAGTGATGACTCAGGCATCTTAGGCTGCTGCAAGGGTTAATAACATTTCTACCCAGAGTTCTGCTTTAAGGCCACTGAGTTACCATAACTACCAGGAAACTAACATTTTAGAAGGTATTCAGCAACAACAGCATCCACATTTTAATAATTGAAAGGCATATCTAAAAATTAAATTATTATATTGCATGTTACCAGTCATTAGATGAGGTGACTGCATTAGTTTTCTCCTTTTCTGTCTTTTTTTTTCCTTTGTTTTCACCTGGTATTTCTGCAAATAACACACTTCCTGTCCCTTTGTGGCTACACTCATTTTTCTACTGTATCTATATAAGGAGTCATGGTTGCCAGCCAGGCTGGATTTCAAACATGTCTGACTGTGTCCATCACCGTTTCATTGGGGACAGGAGCTTAGTACATACATCCAGTATATATATAGATATATAGATCTATATAGATATATAGATCTATATATCTATATATATATGTCCCCTTTCAATGCTGTGGCTGTGGCTTACATTTAGGTGTATTCATTAAATATGTGAACATTGCAAAAATAAGGGAAAATCACAAAATAATCAATCCGATTCAATTAAACACTAGCAGAGCAATAATAAGAGGAATTCTATTGGTTGCCCTGCACATTGCTAACAGTTTGCAATTCAAGTACTTATAATTAAAGGATAACTGAACCCAAGGATGAAAATGTTATACCAGCCTATAGATGTGGTGTCTGCATTAGTTTTCTGTATTGGGAACATTTTTTAGCAAGTACAGCAACAACCTGTTGATCTTTCCAGAAATGCAGTGAGCTGAACTGAAAGCAGAAAACACACACACATATATATATATATATATATATATATACACATATACACAGTATATAT